AACATTCTCTGCCTTGACCTCGCGCTCTGGAGTGCTCCTTGTCTCAAACGATGCAGTCTTGGGGACCACAGCGCTAATGGAATCCTAGAAGGGGAAAAACATAACATAAATCGATTGTAAGAGTTCAAGGCAAGATATTTAAGAGACCTACATTAGAAGTGACACCATTACCACGAGTCTCATCTACGATTTTATTTTTATCTGATATTGCGGAATTGTGAATAGCAGGTGCTGAGATTACAGAGGTTGAAATGGTTCTTGTGAGTGGTACGAGTGGAGGGGCGGGATACGACATCAGAGATACGCCAGCACGGTCGTCAGAAATCGGTTTGGGAGAAAAAGCCAGCTTTAGGTGGAATGGATGAGTCCCACCAGCTATGTGAATCGGTCGATGATTGGCCAAAATTAAAGAAGTAAGAGCATCCTGTATGGTATCCCATTCCACCAAACCTAGGAGAAACGAACAAAGGACTTTGTATCTTATACAGTAGATTATAATCACTAAAGATCGTAGATAATTCCAATGACTCAGTCGTGTATAGCTAGGTACGAGGTAATTGTTAATTAGCCATAATCATGACTCGTACGCAGATAGCATTGGAGCAAGGGATGGAATGAATACAAGACTTTGGTAGTAGCAAATGGGTTATTAACACTTTAGCATAAGTTAGTTAGATCTTACCTAAAGATGTTTTTTGATTAGGCTTAGAGCAAAATACGACAATACGGGGGGGAGTAGGTGCTCCAGCATCCACTAAAATTCTGCACATGTCTTCGGGAGTCAAATTAAGGGGCACATTAAAGAAATGTAGAGTTCGTGTTGGCTCCAAAATACGGCACTTAGAGGCGACCATTGCGTTACGGAATCGGTTGTTTGGATCAACTAAAAGATAAAAGGCGTTAATACAACATAAAATATTCAAGGAGCAAATTAGTTTGGCATACTCATATAATTTTTCATCATCGGTGAGCCGTCCGGCAGAGTCCCGAGGTTATCAGTCTCTATTAATTCAGACTGTTTACTATGATAGAATTGAATAACAGATCCGAATAGTTGAATTCCATCGAAGTACTTTATGATGAGATCGGCAGCTTCCTTTGATCCCATTTGAGTCATCGCGCAACCAGGACGATCGCGGAGAAATTTTATGCGAGCAACATTACCATAGACACATAAAAGATTGAAGAGGAGATCACAATTAAAGTTAGAAGCGAGATTACTAGCCATTATGGTTACACCCTCGCCGGTTTCAAATATGGACAAATCAGTCTGTCTAGAATTGATAGTAGTACTGGTTAAATTAGAAGCGGCATGTCCGATTCCAATACCCCCTGTAGTGACATGATGTACTGGTGATGGTGTTGACAATATTGTGTATGGAGACGGTGTCTTTGACAACTTAGCCTGGGCATACGCTGAAATAATCGTCGTTGCCTTGGAAGTAGATGACGACGCAGGGGACAATGGAGGAGGAAAAGCCGTTTGAGGGAATGGAACACCAGGGGGAGTGGTGTATGGAGGAGGTACGCGAGTAATGGTGTATCCAGAAACGGAAGGGACTATTGGAGAAGAATAATATGGAGGAACTGCCGCAACCGCAGAGAGACCGGGATAAGGAGAGTAGGAGGGGTAGCCTGGAACTTGAACAGAGTAACCTGGGAAAGCAGACTGGCCAGTTGGAGTTGCTGTTGGCTGAGAGTAAACAGACTGAACCGATTGTAGGTGAGTTGTGGGGCCGGTAGGAGGTACAGGAACAGATGGAGAACCAACACTGCTAT